TGCATTAGCAAAAGAAGCTAACAGCCTTTAACAGCCTGTATTTTTGATTCATTTTGTTTTGTAAAATGATACTTTTTCACCTCCCAGTTTGCACTTGAAGATGTTTTGTATTTAATGTAAAATCTTTCTCAGCACTTGTGCGAACGGTGTTGCTATCAATAAGAAGTGAATCTTGTTTTGTGCTGATCCAACACAATGAATGTGTTTGGTGAAAAGTGCTGCAGCCATTTGTGTAACTGTCTCCTTTCATCTTGATTCTTGGTATTATTCTTTCTTGTTCAGCATTTTCACACACCCCTCTCACACACACTTAAGATTTAAATCCCAAATTAAAGGGCTTAATTAGAAAATATAATGAAGCTGAGTAGCATAATATGCATTATGATGCCCTGCACTGGGGGCCCTGTAACATTGAAAGTGCCATGGGCGCATAACGATGATCATATCAATAATAAATGACTTCATCAATCGGTATTCTCTTGAAGATGGAAATGCGCTGTTGGGAGCAGACTGATTTTTTTTATTACATCTTTTGCCTTCCTTCCTTCTTGCCTTCCCGTAGCTTGGAAATGTCTGTTTCATCTCACATTAGGTTGTGCTCTGCATAAGTGCAGGTGGAACTTGCTCTCCTCTAAATGATCCTTTAATGGAACAGTGTGCACTGGAGCTGGGAGCTCTATGGGGCGCTGCCACTGTCGATGAGAACTTTGCCTCAATCAATCCGTCAAGGCCCATCACCTGCCTCAGCAGATGATCCGAAAAACCCTTTGAAGAGACAGAAAGCTTTTTATGTACCTCGAAGGATGGAAGACACAATGTGCACATAAACATGACGAGCTTCAGCATCATAAGTGAGAGGTGTCTGTTTCACTCCGAGACGTCGCGCTGAGCAGGTGTCAAAGACTTTTATTCTCCCGTATTTTTATCAAGATCATCTTAGAATAGATCAAGTACTGACATGAGCATGAAAGAAAAATCAATTCAGAGGTTTATTTATTTATTTTCCTCCCCAATATCTGCTGCATTATGGGACACTTCCATAAGTGAATCTCTCGGTCCAAGCAATATTGATGCGTAGTTGCCTCATATTTCCATCAAACAGAGCGACATCACTCCAAACTGCATTTTCCTCTGCATCTCCCCTCGTTCACATTCACTGCAACTTATCTCACTACTCCATCATGATTTTTTCATATTTTCTTGTTCCTTTCCTCCTTGTCTCCTGTGGCTTTTCTTTCTACATTCCTCCATCACCATCTATCTTTGCATCTGCAAATTTGACACCACATTTAGTTTTTTCGATGTGCTGCTATCGGCTGACTTGTAGAACATCCATTAAAGTTAGCCTGTAAACTCAGCAGAATGGCTCTTTCTTGAGTTTTTATTCTTGATGTTTGCCTGCCCATCTGTGGCAGGAAGCAGTCACTCTGTCTGTCAATAACAGTCTAATCTTCGCACTTCTTGTTCCTGTCTGTTTATCTGTCTGTCTGGCATGTCGGCAGCTGTCTCGGCGCTCCGGGGTTGCTGTCAGCCAAGTGTTGGTGTGTGTTCTTCTGTCAGTTCAGCTGCCTGTCAAAGCCACTCACATTAGACATTTCAACTTACCTGTATTCAAGCTGCCTCTTTCCACTCATTTTATTTATTAAAAAAGCAGAATATTTTTTTAGATGTATGACAACTACTTTGGAAATGTTAGTGATTTTAAGTCATTTAATTTGTGTTTGACTGAAAACAAATCAAATTGTCTGTACAATGTATGTAGACTACGTATGTTTTGAGTACGTAGGTTTGTGGTCTTGTTAAGATCAAATTACCCTTTGACTGCTGGGATAAAGACATTTATAACGTTAAATGCATGTTATACTATTTGACCATTCTGATTTATTTTTGGCATGACTATTCTCCAGTAGCCATTGCACAATAGTATGAAGCTCAAACTGACGGATGACTTTGCATTCCCATACAGCAGAGACAGATGGATCATATAGCCTCATCAGATGGGGCCGTGGAAGAGCGAGGCCTGGCTGTGAGGGGATAGAGGGGCAAAGAGTGCATCGGGGAGCTACCTGCTGCTGATGGAAGCTGCAGTCAGTGAGGGATGGAGGCCGATCCAGCTGTGACATTAAAGCAGCAGGTGGAGGCCATCATTAGGCCTGGCACAGGATGGGCCCGCACACACTCATTTCTTTGGGGCTCAGTGGACCTGTGAAAACTCAATGTGCCTGTGTGGTGCAGTGTATGTCCTCTAAAAGAGCTCAACCATAGTCCCATAACTTCTGAGAGCACCCTCGTCTCCAGCGTACATCTGTGCCCCATGGAAGTGCGCTATTCCTCTGCAGGGACCAGCAGCTCTGTCTGGTGAGGGTTGAGTGACTCCTGCATCTGGTGGGTCTCTGGTAATGGCTTTTCGCTTACCTTTTGGCCAATTAAAATACAAAAGTTAGCCTCAAGTTTGTTCAACTCCAGGCTAATTTTTCAGCTCATAGCTTTGTTCAGATTGCAGGTTTGGGAAGTTCTTCCTATGGAACCAATGATATTGTTCTCTTCATCTCTTTTAAGGTGCTATCCATATAAAAAAGGTAACTGAAACATCAACCTATTTTCTGACACTCTACATTGGCGCCTCTTGGGAACAACTGTGTGCATGTGATTGGGAAGGTTGGCTCACAGCTTTTCTGTGCCAAGTGTGGCTTGAGGCCCTTTCTTAGATCTTCATCCCTTCCAGACCTGTAGATGGGCCTATCCAGGAACACCATTAGGCAAATGAAGTTGTTTGTATCCAATATTGACATGTTATCTCTTCATCGTCAGGCAGTGGAGGACGGAGAGAGAAAGATTGTAACTGTGGGTAATTGAGCCGTGTCTCCCCTGCTTATCGGTAAAGCTCTGGCACGTCACGGACCTAACGAGCTGTGGCGCGCCGATTAGTCTGAAGGGAAAGTCGAACGTGAAACAGCAGCCTCTGTCTTTCTCTTTCCTTTTTTCATATCTGCAACTGATATTATGAGCCTCCCTGGAGGGCACAGGCATAGCCTTATTAGCTCAATTCATGAGGGAAGAGAATTGATATGGATGAATGGCATGTTAAAGTATCCTTTTGTTACAGTTACCATCTTGACTGATGATAACCACAGCAGCAAGCAACAATTGCAGCTTTGACCCTCGGTAGTGTCTGGTGCCAGGGCTGATTACACAAAGTTTCAAATTATTTTACTATACCCATACTATGTTGTGACATTTGAGAAAATGAGCATGTTGCACTTAATACTTGTCTGAAAATAAGTGGTTTCAATCACTTCCTAGGATTTGTTTTGTATATATGTTTGTGTGTTGCAATTATAATAGCCTGGTTAAAAGCTCATTATAAATGTGTGTATGTTTGTTTCATTATTTAATCTTGTGAAGGTGCATTCTAATTTGGCATTTGTTTGGGTGTCTATGCCAGGTGCCTGTGCAGAGTATTACCCATCTTGCAGTGGAAAAATGGGAGAGATGAAAATCTCACAACATGCCAGTCTGATTTGTACCCCTCACAATCAAAGAATGCTAATTAAAATCATATTTTGCATATGTCTTGTATTTCATGTGCATATGCAAATTGGCCCCATTGCCTTTCAGCACTCTGTAATTAGGTTTATGAAGGACAGCTGTAATACATAATTAACAGAAATGTTTGCAAGCTCTTTTTCTTCCCGTCTAAACACATCGACTTAAACAAGCGTGCAATAAGGCCATGATTTTCTCTCAAATATATCAATTCATTCTTATTTTGTCAGAAATCTCTTAATTATGCTGTTTGTGTATATTTATAGATGGTGTCATCAGTGACAATCCTTTTCATACGAATACAAAGGCTGATATTTTGATCTTGTTTTTGTTCCTTGTAGTATACAAGATTTTTCTACGCTATAGTTTGACTCCAAGGCAAAAATGTGGACAAGAGGATGGATTGAGTAAGAAAGCAATGACAAAATGTAGAGTGACGATAACGAGGCAAAACAGTGGCACACGTTTGAATATTTATATGGCGGTGTTAGTTAGTGCGTGCCTACGGGGCCAAAGTGACGGACGGGGCTCTTGAGTGTGTGTGTGTGTGTCCAGACGTTGGGAGGAGCTGACATTGTGACATAAATGGCGAAATAATTATGCTTTTGCTTCATGATAGACTCACTGCATAACATAGAAGGAAAGCTTAAGAAAGACACAGACGGGCTTGCCGGAGAGAAAACAGAATAATGATCTACAATGCTGGAAAATACGCAAAGTGAAAGCCTCCCCAAATAGAAGCAACAAGGATTCGCACAGTGGAGGGCAGTGTGCAGTGACAGTGCCAACCTTAGGGCTGCTTGTCCCGCCTTGGCCTCTTTCATGTTACGAAGCCTCATCCCTGGTCGTCTGATGTGGTCACTGTCACCCTGTGCGCAATAATCGCAAGTGATGGGTGCTAAACGAAAAGGCAACTGCACAAAAACACTGGTGAAGCAGCTTGAATGTTTAGAGTAGTTAGCCCTGTCATCCCTTCATTATGTTTTCACATGTTGTTTAGGAGACACAGAAAACTCCAAAAGTCAGGACACTGTGGTCAATGTCAACTTATGGTGCCAAGGCAGTTATGACTACAGTGCGTGCTACAGCATTATTGTATCTGCACGCTGGATTCGGTCTCATGGCATGCATATTTTGATGGCATGTTGATGTACTGCATATGGCACTCTTTTCCAGCACATTGTCATTTAACTGTCACACATAAAATGGCTTTTTAGTGTTAAACAAATAGAGTAAAATGTTAGCAGAGTAAATGATATATTCAGTTATTTAAAATAAATAGCTATCATCAATTGAATAAAGTGGCTATTCCAGCTAAAACTTTTTTGACAGATGAATGTTCAGTTACATTTGACTCTGGTAAATGTATGGAAAAGTGAGAATTATTAAAATTATTACAAATTATCAATTTTTTTTCTGTATTTTGATTAACTTTTGACTTCTCTGTTTTACAGATGGGCCTTTGTGATGAAAAAGCACCTGAGCACCCACATGCTGGGAAAACATGGAGTAGGACAGCCTAAAGAGAGGTACAGACACATGCGTTTACTTTGCAGACATATATAATGAAAATTTGCTTGGACTTTACTTGCTTTACAAAACAATAATAAGGTCTAAGCAACGAATGAGAGTTCCAAATGCTTCTGTGTGCGTGAGTGTGTGTGTGTGTGTGTGGCACAATGTTTCATCTACTTTGTTATCATTAGGGGGATTCTGTATCCTTGTGGGCGGCAGTAGCTCAGGTGGGCGGCAGTAGCTCAGTTGGTAGAGCGTTGGCCTTTGAGCCAGAAGGTCGTGGGTTCAAGCCCCGCTCAGGACTTTCACCATCAACTCTCACTGACTACTGTCGTTGTGTCCTTGGCAAGACACTTAACCTCTGGGAACACCAGCCACAGTGGGGCGGCTGCGGCTGTAAAGTGCCAAACTGCCGTTGTGTCCTTAGGCAAGACACTTCACCCCCATTGCCTAGAATGAGTCTGGTGTTTGTGTGAATGGTTGGTGGTGGTCTGAGGGGCCGATGGCACAGACTGGTTGCCTCGCTTCTGTCAGTGTGCCCCAGGGCAGCTGTGGCTACAGTAGTAGTTTATCACCACCGTGTATGGAGTGAATGAATAATGACACATGTGAAGCGTCTTTGAGTGTCCAAAAAAGCGCTATATAAAACCGATGCTTTTTTTTAATTTTTTTTTTATTATATATGTGGTGTGGGGCAACACGACTATATCACATACATTTTTATCTGTACATTTATTTTATGTTTTTAATAGTTTCAAGGTTCAAAATATTAAAACAATCCAACTTAACTCTGATACTGAACACTGACACATTCAGTGTCAGTAGCTGTATTTATAGCCAGGTGAAGTCTGCATACTTCTTCTAAATTTTGGATAACATCCCAGAGTCACATGTTAAACATTTGTGAGCCCACTGTGGTGTTGAGATGACAAACTAGTAGACTAATATTCTGTTCTTATAAACTTTCTATAAACTCTCTCAAATATTTAACATATTCTTTTGCTGGAAAATGTTGTTTAATAAAAGCATCTTTTTTGACGAGCGGCTGTTTGCGGCTTGACTGTCAAGCTGTTTCCAAAGATCTTAGAGATGCAGCTGGCAATTAAATCATATAACCCAGATCTGGCCTTTGGAGGTTTCAAACTCAAAATTCCCCTAAGTTAAGTCACAAATTAAATTTAACTTGCGATCCTCCTTCTCCCAAACGAGTTAAATGACTTTCACTCATTCTGTCTGCCTTGGTCTCTTGCTTACTTCTCTTTTCCTGTCAAACTTTATCAGGCTTCCTTCCTCATCTTGCACTCCGGCCTCCCTCTTGAATAAAGGATGAGGGATGCATACAAGCATGTGTGTTTGTGTGTATGTGAAATACCTCCCGCTTGGCCCTGTCGATCAGAAGCAGAGCTGTGCTGTCAGTTTGTCAGGATCTATGTGTACAAGAAAGATGTGGAGATGAAGTTATGAGGCCCCCCTTCTGTTCTGACAAGCCAAAACGAGACGCTAAACACCCCTCAATCTGTCAAGTGAGCTGCTAAAATAGAAACAGACCTGCTTTTTCACTAAACCACAACCAAAATGATACTTTTGACAAGATGTGATATTGGATTTGACAAGCGGCGTAAGATATTGATGTGTCATGCACAGCTCGATACCGCTCCATCTACCTGACAGTATAAACTATATATATTCTGCTCATTCTGCTCATTTGTATTAGATGAAATTTCCATCTATCCATCTATCCTAAACATGGTTCTCCCCTATATTATCTTCACACTCACTCATCATATAGTTTAGTCTACCTGTTTGGTTTCTATACAGTCACTTTATGATCTACTTTAAGTAGTTCTATGGTATTGTTCCGCACGAATATTAGCCCACATTAGGAAATCCTACAAAAAAAAATATTATATAGGAACTCGTGTACCTCCAGAAAAGTACCACTGTTAGAAAACACACTCACTTAAGAGATCCACCAAGCGGCAATGACTCAAGTAATTTGAGTGCTCAGTCATCCCCCTTTGCTGGCTGCCCTTTCAAACCTTGCACAGTGTGCTGCTAAGGCTTGTGCAGCCCATAAAACACAATACTAATTTTATAGTGTCCAAACTGTTTCAAGAGCTCAGAACATTGTCATTGTTTTTGCCCTATTGACTAGGAGACAAGACTTCCTGGAAGAGTCTTTAGGCAGTTTTATATTGTGGACCTGTGTTTTCTGACTCGTGTTGAAATGTCGTGGTGACCAGTGGGAAAGGTTGGTGCGTTGTTTGGGCCAAATAAACTCATTTATTTTAAAATCTTCTGAAGTTAAAGCACATTGCACCCAGGATCAGGGAATAGTGATATAATGGACTATGGTAAGCTTATCTTCCACATAAAGATATATAAACATTTTCCAAAAAAAAATCAAAAGTGCAACAGCCCAAACTTTGACGGTAAGAGCATCACTCTTGTTACACGGCTTGTTACGCAAACAGTGTCTAAAATGTTGTGACTTGTGTAGTTTCAACATTTGCTTAGTGTGACAATAAGGGTCGACCCAGAGATATGTGGAGAAAATACTGTATTTTTAAAACAAAGAGAAAAAACAACCCTCAGCCCGATGGTATTGAACTTCCTTGCTGTTCTTTTAGAAATGACACACAATCATAACACATTTCGCCACTCTACATCATTACATTACTTACACTTTAAATGTCACCTATGTGGAAATAAACTCCATTTATTCACATAATTGTATTCATGCTAGCCGTCAGAAAAGCACAGCACCGCCTTTGCTACTTACACACACATCGTGAGAGAGTGAGGATAGTCACAAGGTTTGTTCTATAAAGTACAATGTCATCATTTTTCTGACAGTTCTGCAGACATAATTTATCTAATCATTAATTAACCATCATATTTCCTACACTGAGCAGCTTAATTAGCACAAGGTCATTTGGGAGAACTTATAAAGTGGAACAAATTTGGGAAGGAAGAGTAGGAGAAAGGAGGCAGAGGACATAGGGGAGTAAGCAATAGAGAAAGCAGGTTTAGTCTGCTCCCACAATGATCCACCAATGATTGATAACTGCACTGCTTTTGAAAGACCTGAAGACTAGGATGGTAGATAGAGATTTGTAGTGTGTAAGTGTGTATGCGGGTATCTGAGCAAGCAACGTGGGACCAGTGAGGGGGGGAGTCGGTGGTTTCCGAGGAGCGATGGGGGTTGCTGAGGGGAGCCAATTGCAAACATATGCTGGCTGGCAGGTAGCGGAGAGATGGATTGCAGTGGGACAGTGTCAGAGAGGCAGTTTCATCACCATCTCTACCACGGCCCGTTCACCTGGTATTTTTAGAACACGAGGGAGATCTGTTAGTCAAAAAGAAAAGTGGAGGAGGGGGAGTGGTAAAGGGAGGATGAGGCCTGACGAGCTCGAGGTACTTAGCCAAATCAGTCCCAAGTCAGTTCGGGTGAGGTCTGCATTTCAACAGAAGTGCGGTGCGTGGGTGTTCATTTTGACATGTTTTGGCCTCATGAATACTATACCTTTCTGATGCAACCTTTCTATTGATCTTGGCTTGGGATTGGCCCTATCAGGGACTTCTGGTATATGCATATTTCCTTCATGTTTTATTTCACTCTACAATACTTTTCTTTTTTATACTAACTTGGATTCCACTGTCCTAATAGCGCATAGTTCTAATAGAGCTTAAATTATTTCTAAAACTGCTGAGCAACCGTGAACTTGAAAGTTTCGATACTAGCTTCAAGCAAGCCAAGGCAAACTAACTATTTTGACAGCCCTAAAAAAGTTAACATTTTAATAATAATAATACCATTTATTTATGGCGCTTTTCTGGGCACTGACGGTCACCTATTTTTGTTGTCATTTCTGTTTCGATAATTAATCCAGGTTATTCCTCTGGATTCCATGGTCATTAATAATATCAATAAGACAAAAAATTAAGATTTCCATTTTCAACTAAACGCTGTACAGAAACAAAAGCACTGACTGTCCTTCCGTTGGGAGACAGCCATACTCACTATTCACTAATAAGTGACTAAGGCAGTCCCAGTGGTCAGAAGTGACGCTAACTAAAAGGCTAACACGTAATGTTGTAACCCCAGTGGGAGAGAGAAGGACGAGGATTCAGGGGGGAGGAGGGGTGAGATGACAGGCTCCGACTCCCTGACAGGTTCTGGGTGAGAGAACGAGAGAGGGAACTGCTCCAAAGTGACACAACTGGGTCTCTGTCTCAGTCACACCACCACTACTCACTGCAGGCGTCGAGGGAGGAAAAGCGCCTTTGTCTGCTGCTATCTATCTGCTTTAGGGTTAGGTATGTAGGTACACGGACACTTAACTTTCCAAATCT